TGTGAGGGGCACATTATACTTCCACGTGATTTCTGTGCGGTTGGTCTCTACGTGACATACTTAGTGGAAACCTCATAGAACGCGATGAGTATGCAAAGCTGTGTTCATAGTGATTGAAATCTTGGTTTGGGGTTTCTTTGTTTGGTTATGGAGGCGTCTGGCCGAGTGGATTGCTATCAACTTGACCTTTCCAGGCTCTGAAGAAGGCGAAATCCGCCGAAACGTCAGCTTAATCGTGAACAAGGAATAGTAACACCTCGCGTTTGCTCAACAAAAATACGAAGAAAACCACAGGAATGATTTCTTTTGTGAAATAAGTATTTGCTGTGGCATATATAACATTAGAGCAGACTAAAATCCTTTGTGGGACAATAGAGTAGGCAACTAAACTTTGTGCCAAATCCTATCTTCATGTGGTTGTGGAGTATACAATTAAAATATGCGAAAGTATACGTTATTATAAGCAGACGAATCAACGGATGATGAATAAGGGCAGCAGAAGAGTGAGTAGCAAGATGATGAGGATCGCCTGACTGATGGGAGAGTATAACAAAAGGAACGAAGATGCAAGCAAAACAACATGTATGCTCAACTGAAGAACTGCGAATCAGAGAAATCCTGCTGTGCTCAGTATTCGCATCGTGTTTAGAGGAGAATCATGGGCTCTGAAGAAGACGAAATCGTCAAAATCTCAGCTATTGTGTATTCATAAATGCTTATTTCCTCATCAAAGAAAACGGTGAATTATTGATCAACGCCGAGATTAAGAGAAAGTGGTTCCTGGGAACAGTTCATGGGAACTACATGAAGTACCATCAGAATACTTTCCACTTGTAAAAGAGACCCTGTCACTAAAACAGAAGATTCTCTTAGCTAGAAGGTAGAAAAACGATATTCTTTCTCCGCCGTGGCCGAAAACACCGAGTCGTGCTGTATTTCATCAAACGAAGGCGGCTACACGATGTATGCAATCTACCTGGCGATAGCCATCAAGTACTGGACATCGAAATGCGAATACTACGCGCTTGTCTTCGATGCAAGCGGGACAACACATGTGCTCAACTAAAGAATCGTAAGCCGAAGAAATCCTATTGTAATCAATATCTGGAGGGTCACCTTTGGAGGAGAATAAAGGGACTCGAAGAAGGCAGAGCAACCGGAACGTCAGCTATTGTTTGTGAGTAAATGGTGTAATAACAACCTCGTTTTTTGCTCATTGACGAGAACAGTGATGAGAAGAGTGTATCTGTGCCTAACAGTGTCCAACTTCTTACCTGGACACAGCTTCTGGAGTAGGAAATAACTTTCATTTGCGTCTCCGTCTCTCTCATGTGTAATTTTCTTGGGCTTGATACATACTTGGTACTTGAACGGAGATTTGCTGCTTCAGCCATTCTAGTTCCCTGGAACCTCGAGGTCAGTCCGGCCAAAATCTGCCCAGGTCTTCACCACCACAGACAGTCGCAGCCCTTATGGATCAGAGGGAGCATTTTCTTGGACTAATCGATCAAAAGCGAAGGGAACTACGCTGGGAGTCTCAGGATTTGTGAGGATACATTTTGAAACTACTCCGATGTGTGTGCTTCACCATAAAATGCAGTGGATACCATATTTTTATTATTTCTATTTTCTGTTCTGGTTACTTCAGTGAATTTTTTCCATAGTATGTTTTTGTTTTAATTCTACTTTCATTGTTTGTTGTTATGTTTGGTTGTTCTGTTCTGTGCTTTGTTTGGTCGAGAGTGGAATCTGCTTATGAGTCCGCTGTCCAGTACGCTAGGTTGTTTCAGGTTAACTACTTATCGCATTTCATTCTCTGTAATCGCCTGATCGACTTATTGGAAAGAAATAATCATGGGAGGATAGTGGTGGTAGGCAGCGTACTCCATAGTTGGTATGTCAACTTTTTACCACGATTGTTCTTGTTATACCTAGTGCTCAGCAAGCAGTTATGCTTTAGAAAAGACTGTAGACGGAATTGTAGCATTATGAGAAGAAAAGCAACTGCTACGTCCATTATTTATTTGAGGGCTAAGGAAAGACCACTATATCGGAGATCTTAAAACTAATGAGCTAGCCAGTGTCCAAAGTAGGTAAGGAAACCATCCATAAAATAAAACCATTGAGCGAACACCGTTGTGGTAGTTGTCTGTCAGTAGCATCAGTTTTGCTCTTCACGAAAGGAGGTTCTTAAGTAAACAACTCTGTGGTCCTTGGATCGTGCGATATATCCGGTCAGTTCGATGTGTTCTATCCTAGTACTTGAACTGGTGTCATTAATTCTCAATATTTGGTGGAAAGGACGAAGAGCTTTCGTCCAAATCTTCGAAGGAACTCATTTAGCAGTTGCTCAAGTATTACCTTCAAGTGGGGCATTCAAACAGTTGGCTACAACCTCGGCCATTCTTCCGTAATTTCGTGATCACTCAGATTTTCTTTTGTATAGTTTTTTGGCCTGAAGGATAATATGTTGTTCGATTAATGCATAAGATCCTGCGTAATATATTAACTGTTCCTCAATTTCTCATAATTTCTTATGTGTACCTGCCTGCAACTTAGTCAAATTTGTGAGGACTTTACGATGATCGTTTTAAAGCAGAAATTTAGGCCAGCATAGTTTCTTCGGTCACTAAATCGCTGAATGCTTTCGATCTAAATCAGCTACCTATCAATCGACTGATTTGCTGCCTGATAAGAAATGTCTCGTTTTGCAATAATAGAAATGCTACCGCCTTACGTTTTCCCTTATTTCGCGAAGTGAAATATGGATGACTTTTGTATCATGCAAGATAACGTCACTCTAAAGAAATAAATCTCCGCCTCTATTTCAAAATTGGTTCACAGGAAATAAAAACTGTGTTCATGAAGAGAGTGTGTACAAGAGCGTTGACGGATAAATGTAGCCACATTCTGAGTAACAAACGAAGCCTGTATGGCTAAAACTAACATGAAAAAGGTTTTGAAACTCATTTATAGGACGGCGTTGGACTGGACGGATGTAATGGCAACAAAGGATTACGAGAAGTATCTAGTGTATTCTCGATCGAAACTTTGTCTTCATCTTATGGCCTTCGCACTTCACAGACGAATGAATATCGCCCGACGGAAGTTGGCCGTGAATGTCGTCGAACTCGGCAAAGAACGCGAACCAAATAACAACGGAAGAATGTACGTCTTGATGACGCGATTATAGCTAGCCAAAGGCGTATAAATCTTGCTATCCAGGGAAGTTTGCAGTTGGAAGAAGGCAAAGTGTACATTAGGAGAAAAACCAAGTAATTTTTTTCGACGTTAGTCGGATCGGTTGAATACTGTAATTTCTGACTAGTTCCATGTTCTGTAAAAAATGTGTACCACGCTCATCCAAACTTCTCTGACATTTTCCTAATTCGATTGAACTTCCAAAGCGATTATTTCAGTTTATACGGAATAAAACCACGACGAAACTGGGATATTTGCAAAAGTCCGGACCGAAGGTGTCTGCGATGGGGAACGAAAGCGTTATTACCCTTTCCGAGGCTAACGTCCCGGATTAATCTCGTTGACGGATGATTGCTGATGGCACTGATCGATGGAAATGGCTGAGAGAAAAACGAAACAAAGGACCCTCATGGTGTGGTGGTGAACGAGTTAGCCCCCGCAAAAGGTAATAGGTAATAGCACCTTCGTTCCCCACCGAAGACACCTGCAGTCCAGAGTTTTGCAGATATCTCAGCATCGTTGTGGTTGTATTTCGCGTAATACCTTGCCGTAAAAATTGTAGTAGGGAGAAAATAAAAAGTAGACATTGTGTTTTAGTTTAGCGTCAACGATTATTAGTAGACACATGGTTTTTTTCACTGCGTCATACTTGTGTTGTCCTTTCATTCCCATCAGTTACTGTGAAGGTGGTTAATTTTTGGAACATAAGGAAAGAACTCTAGCTATTTATTTTCTCCTTTTCTTTTTTATGCGAAAATCTGAAGGAGAAGCAGAAAAACGGAGAAGCTCATGCTTAGCTACTCCTAGGGTGACAATTTTTGCTAACCTGGGGAGTTACATAATTATACTGTCATAAATGAGAACGCGTGAATAGAGTTTTTAGTCACTGGAAACTAATTTGTAGGTTGCGAAATTTCCTATAGACATAGCAGAAGAGCATTCATTCGGTTCCGTAGATGTAAGAGAAAGAACAGTTTTGGGAACGGAAGAGAAAATTGATCATTGCTTTTGTTTCTTTTTTTCTAACTCTCAGTGGGAGATTTGGCAGACAAATGTACACATGTAAGACCTGGAAGTGTATTTTGGCTCGATTTTAAGCGATTAGAATTCCGCTTAGAATTAGATTAGAATTAGAATTTGTAGTTCGTTTCATTACTATTTCATGAGCATTCTATTACTTTAGGCGAACAGCATCTGCTCTGTCGAACTCCACATCCACATTGTCGATGTTCCGAACAGCTGGCAATCTAGTGCAACTCATAGAGAACCCGATGTTTGAAAGTCTTTCAGGAAAGTATTTGGATTCCACAGGAAAGCAAATAAGGTGGGGCTCACGAAAGCACCATTGTCACTTGCTAATCCTTTTTTTAAAATTTACATGTCATTTTTCCTATCCTCCCAACGGTTTACTCATCGTGGCAGGGCGGTGTTCCTGGGTGTCGGATTGCGATGTACAGCGAGAGGATTCGTCCACTCGGCAGGGCCTCTCAAGCTGAGAAGGACTCCGGCGTTTCCAACAGGAAGCCTAGCTAAGAGTAAACTAATACCAGGATCCACCACCGTCCTGGCATCAAGCTGGTCGCATGGTAGTAAATCTCTCTCTGATCCACAAGGGCTGCGACTGCCTGGACGACCTGGAGCAGACTTTGGTCACGCTGTCCTCGGGACTCCAGGGAACCACAATGGCTTAACCAGCAAATCTCCAAAAAATGGTGGTTATGCTGGGACTCGCACAACTAGTGATGACAAGCCGTTCAAGTATCAAGTATCGAGTAGATTTTGCCTATGGAATTGGAAGCCAGAAATTCTATTAATGAACGCATGATCCCACTATATTACAAAATTGAATCAGGAAAAAGTGAACTGAAAAGGAGTGCGATGGAATGTGGATAACACCGCTCTGCACCTGGGGCTCATTAAATTTGTCAAAATTAGGAGACGGGTGAATGCATAGTTTGAACTACTCGATTTTCTTGAAGGGGCGTTAGCATGTTTTAGATTTTTTCCTTCTATAGGTTTTTTTTTTGTTTCAATGTTTCACTTTTCATTTATTCACATAATACATAGTTATTTATTATTATTATTATTAGCATTAGTATTAGTATTAGTATTATTGTCGTCTAAATAATCTCCTTTAGAATTTCGTTAGACAAGTACTGCAAAGTGTTTTTGAACTTTATTGACGAATTTGCCAATTTGCATAACTGCGGGTTCACCAAATGCAACTGTTGCTCTGAAGACGTCGAGGCTTGGTTTCTTTCAGAATAAACAAAGTCTGCATAAACAGAAAGTGTAGTAACGGGCCGAAAACGTCTCTAGGGGAATTATTCGCGACACGTAACAAATATCTGTGCTTATGAAATGAAAACCACTTAATGTGAAAGATACAGGGTCAGCGGTGTCACTTGTAGTAGCAGTTGGGTTGTATGTAAATCTTTCTAAAACTAAGTAATATGTAGAAGTGTAGAGATTACGGAGGCATATATAGTGCTTTGATTGGAAATTCTGTGCAATACATAGGGATTACTTTGGTTTCGTCTTTATGGCTAACTAATTCTTCTATCCCTTTAAAGTAGACAGGTTGCTACAACAGCTGCCTGGGAAGATAACAGCACTAGCTTGACATATTAGGAAGTCATTCTATTGCCATATTTTTCTATAGGCCATTTTTAAAGTGATTCCATAGGCCGTGTATAGTGTTATTTTATTTACGTTAGTTTTAATACTTATTCGTTCACTTCTTTTATGCTTAATAAAGCTGAATGCTTTCTGCATCCCTGAGGAAGGATCGACATTTGTTCTTTATCATTTTTTCGTTTTTCCGGGTATTCCCAGAATTTCTTGTGTGACGGGAGGGAAGTACTTCGACTGCTGGATGAAGCCATCGCGTGGTCATTCTTTGAACTCTACGTTTTATTCAGTTATTTGCAATGCACAGTTGAAGATTGTAATATATTGCGATCATTTCTTTTCAAAAATAGATATATAAAGGTGTAAATCAAAAACAAACAGTCGATTCGGTGTATTTCCTCAATATGGTGTTGTGCTTGATAGAATTAAGATAAAAGCTCTAGAAGCTCTCACTGTTGATTGATTCCTGATGGATGCGCCTTGCATTTAACTTCATTAAACATCGTTGGAGGCGATTGAATGCTTATCTGGCCTTTAAAATGAGTCACGGTGGCCTACCGATGTATCGAGCCAGTGTTGCTATCCTCCCAGACAAGGCTGGTATCAACTGGCCGATCCCGGAGGGATGAAAGGTTTGGTGGGCCATGGGCGCTGAAATGGAAGGTGTGTGTTGTAGGACGCCTCCGACCACTACGCCCTTAAAGCAAGACATAGAAGTGGTTTCCTTAAATTAACATTTCGTATGTTGAACTAAATTTAATTCTAAGCCTAGGCTTTAGTTGCTGATTTCGTTTTGGTTTTCCAATTCACAATAATCTTTTTCTTGCCATCATGTGTGCATAGTTTTCTCTGTTTTGCTTCCCTACCTCTCTCAAAGGTGTATTGACTCATAATGGCGAGAACTTGTTTCCGGCTTTCGAAATATTGCTATGTGTAGTGCAATTCCTACTCCTGGTAAAATCACCTTTAATAGAAAGTAGTTCTTTTTTCTCAGATATCGAAGATCTGTTGAAGAGCATGAAACGGCCCTTACAGGAAGTAGTTGTTTCAGAAACTGAAGATGCATAAGAGTAGACGATATTTCTTGTTCACAGGATGGCAAGGAAAATATTTAGGAGTCATCGGTCACTTCTCTTTCATGAGGAAGTAAAACTGACTTTCAATTTTTCTGATGATTTTCTAATGGTCTTGCCCAGGCAAATCTTTGTTCATTTTCTGGCTTTAATGATGATTCGTTACTTTTCATGAACTGTTAGGTACAGAATATACGACGGCACAGATGTTTTCAATAGTCCAGTCCCGTCCTGCTTTCGTTATCGAGTGTGTTTTCAATGGAAAAGCTTGAGGTTTCGACTGAAAAATTCGCTTTTTTCATGTTCTCAGAACGCTCACCTGATTTGATTTTCTTTCAACATATTATTTAAATATTTGAAGTTATTTATGTTTTCACTTGCTCGTATTGATACTCAAACCTCAAGATTTCCGAGGATTTCTAGGCTTAGAAAGCACGCTTTAAATCATCTCATGGCCAAGGACTATCGGTGGTTATTCTCTTCAACCTTTTTTTGCTTACATTCCCATAGGACGTCCTAGGTTGTTAGTACGTCACCTTGATCGATGACGCGGTCTTTTCGTCGAGCCGTTCTCACTTTTTCCGGCAGGCCCATCATGCACCTTCTGTCATATATCTGCTTTCTCCTCTAGCTTGTTCTAGAAAATTAGTGGCACTGACCATTTGAAAGGCGGCATTTTTCTGTAGTGTCTACACCGGCATTAGATTGCCGTTGTGGTTTTGATTGTGGGTTGGGACCAACACCCTGAAAAGATGAGTAGAAGTCTAGGAATGTGGAAATGTCTCGAAGAGGAAACAACAAGCCAGTTTTCTGGTTATGCTCCATTAGGAAAGTGCAGTGAGAGCTTGCAATGTCATGAAGTTCTCGATGTTTTCTTGCACATCGCCTAGCATGCAGCTTACTGAATGGAGGAGATTAGTTTTGTCGTTAATATAATGACTTCATTCCACTACATTCATTGTCTGAGAGACATAGAAATCGTGATGTGTTCCCAGTGAAAGCGTTGGTGAGGGCATCGTAAAATTCCGATGGTCATCACGAAATGAACGCGGTATTAAAGAGTTGTTTGTTATTTCAATGCCGAAGAACATTTTTAAGTAAAACAAAAAACTGTAATGTTCAGACAATATATTATGAGGAATAAATAAGCTTGAATCTTGTGAATCCATCACAAATCCCAGAGGTTATTGCGCCCATATCTAGTTCATACAATATCTTGATGTGGCCTTCTGATGTAGCAAGCAAGTTCTCTATCTCAAGTTTGATGCCAATTTTCCGATCCCATAGTCAAGGAGGGCTTGATTTGCCCAGAGTGCCGTATCCCAACCACCGATCACTTATGTGCTGCAGAGCGCCTCTATTCATTGCACTCAACCACACTCGCTAAAAGTGAGTAGTACAAACAAATCTAGGCGGAAAAGCGAAAGTTTTAAACCTTTTCTACCTAGCATAAGGTCCCACATCGCTGGGTGGCTGCACTTTTCTTGGAGATCAATTGCAGAAATGCGAACATAGTTTTCCTTTATTCGTTCAGCCGATTCCCTGTACTAACACTATTCTTGGCAACCCTCAGTTAGACAGCAACAGTGTCTCATAACAGAGACCAACATGACCCGTACATTTATTGCAGTTTCCCTAAAATTTAGTTTCAGATGTTTCATAAATTAGAACTAGTCATTCAGATCTGGTTCGGAAGCAACCGATGAGCGACTTCAAGAGCGGCTATGGGCTTATTCTGTTGAGTTATGCAAAGGATACATATAGAATTTTATGGACTCGTTTTTTTTACCTGAAGTTTTTTTCATGAGAAGTCATCATTTGTTACGTTCAGAGATTCTAGTACATACTGTACATAGTGTATATGATTTTATAGTTTTTCTTTGAAAAATAACTTTGTAAATAAGTTGAAGGGTTGTATATCTCACATGTTTATCGCGTTGAACTATTCTGGGTCTGTTTGCAGATTTAGCCGAGTGATGTTTCATTTTGCTTTTAGCGTTGTCCGCTAGCTACCGAACGAAGGGCTTATTTTTTCATACAAACTCATAGTCTTCCTATGACGTGTATTGTATGTTGTACATATAAATTCTAATTAAAGAACTTTTCCGAAGTTCTTCTCTGAATGGACTTGGAATTGAGAATGGCTCATCAGCGATGAACGCCGNGCAGATTTAGCCGAGTGATGTTTCATTTTGCTTTTAGCGTTGTCCGCTAGCTACCGAACGAAGGGCTTATTTTTTCATACAAACTGAAATTTGAAACCGTCTTCCTATGACGTGTATTGTATGTTGTACATATAAATTCTAATTAAAGAACTTTTCCGAAGTTCTTCTCTGAATGGACTTGGAATTGAGAATGGCTCATCAGCGATGAACGCCGTTGTTTACATCCCTGGTGGCATCTGTATTTGTGTCATTGAAATTTGCTGCGCAGATTGGAGTATTGGATTTATTATACTTGTTTAAAGTAAGGAAACTGTTAGATAAAGCATTTTGTCCCAGTTTTGTACCATGTATGAATTATAGTAAGTTGGAGAAAAGTTCGTTCTCTATGATGTTCTTAAGAAGTATATTGAGTACGGAGATTCCTTTGCGTTATTTTTTGAACATGGCCTTGCATAGTAGCAGAAATTAAAGGTGATTTGGTGGATATTTGTTAATGTTAGTTATCTCTATAGCTTATCTCCAAAATTTGTAAGAACTAATTAAAGAAGAGGGTCAGATTCTAGAGACATTCTCAATTCCGCTTACTCCAGAGATGCTAACTCGCAAACAGGAGCTCCTGGTTCTCAGCATCTGAAGAAAAGAATGTTAAGTAGACGAAATAGCGTTTTGAAGTAATTAAAAAGACCGGGTTATAATTAAACCCGACGTTGATAAGCTAGTTATTACTTATCTGATACGGGGTTGTTAATACTTTATAACAACGTATTAGCTTAACAATCTAAGAAAGCACTAACTTTTTCTTATTTTCGATGATTTACGTTTGGATGATTTCGCTAAGATCAGATCAATTTTCGAAAGAGTAATACAGAAAAGACAGAAAAACTACGAAAACATTTTCTTCGTAGGAAGCGAAGACGATTTGAAGATGAAGCGAAATCACTGAAACGTTAGCCCTCTAAAATCATAAACATTTGCTGCGAACCTCATGTGAGATCAAATGAGCTTTTAGCTAAATGAGTTAGAACACGAGAGCGTACCGAATGGCTAGCACGTTCGTTCTATGACAATACTTTTACACTCTTACACGCTACTCTCTACACTCTAGCACTCTTACAGGTTAATCATCTTTCCCACTACGTCATAAGCCGTCAACTGCGCCCGCTGCTGGCCAGAAATGCACCTTCCAGAATCATCTTCGTCTCCAGTCTCTGCTATGATTGGTAAGATTTTTCTTTCTTGGTCGCTCCAATCATCATTCGTTTACGAAACACTGTCCTAACTCTTCATTTTCATTACAAATTTTAAAAGCAGTCAACTGAGCAAGTTTCCATTAGTAAATTTCACATAGAAGTATGGATCGGCCAAGAATATTGCGGTCTTCTTCTCAATAGTTAGCACCAAATATATTTGTCTGGCTATTCCCATAACAATGCGACACCACTAATTCAATTTGTGTATTTTTGGCTTGTTTTCGTCCAAGCTTCTTATATTTTTATGAAAGGCGCTTTTCAGTGTTCACTAAGCCATAAAACGTAGAGCGTTGTGCGTAAAACACATCTATTAAAATGTTTTACGTCCATTCGTAAAGGCGCGTATGGCGCAGTGGTCGGAGGCACCCTGCAACACACGTGGAATCGATCCCCGTGTCCATGGCCCACCAAGTCTTCCATACCTCCGGGATCGGCAAATTGGTGCCAGACTTGTCTGGGAGGATAGAAGCACTTGCTCGATACATCGATAGGCCACTGCGAGTAATTGTAAAGGTCGGTTATGTATTCAATCACCTCCAAGCGATACCTAATGATGTTGAATGCATGAGGCATCCCTCAGGGATTGATCGATGGCGAGAGCTTTATCCTTTTTTATTTATTTTCATTCGTGAAATTTTCGGGCTTCTAATAACTTAGGTGTGATTTAGCACGTATTTATCTGTGCTGGACATGTCCGTTTTCAATCTTTAGTCCAAAAAAGAAAATAAAAGTGTAAAGGAAGTTCTTCAGCTATCTTGAGAACTGTAAATAGAAAACGTTCTAAGAGAAATGCTTTTTATCTTCTTTACGTGTGGAGCTGATACGAATGAATTCTTTAAAACAGATGTAGATATCACATATAACAGATGATAAAAGGTGTTGGGTGATGAAGACAGGAATTATAGTGACCTAGGACTTATTCAGGTACCCTCTAGATTTCTCCGATCTGCAAGCTGTCAACTATGGAGAGCCTTATCGACAGTATTCACGCAGTAAACTCATGAATCACTTGACTGCTTTGAGAATGGCTCGTGATAAAGGCGACGGTGTGACAGTGAATGTTCTGGAACCAGGAGTGATAGAGACGAAATTGCTCAGGTTAATTCGGATTCAAAGAAATTTGCTGCGCACGGTTAGCGACTGTTACACCAAAGGCCACTGTCCTCGTTCGTTCGCTAGATTCCATTTATGACCATGTACGCAGGCTATGAAGATAGTCCAACTTATTAGGATAAACTAACATGCTACTCGGCACAGTTTATCACCAGTTGATACTATTTTTTGACACATCTTGTGATCAACTATGTTTTTTATCATTGTTGTGATGTTAAAGATTTATATGAGAATTCATTTTGCATTTAAATACCACTAGGCGTGGAGGTTACTCTGGTGGACCTGTGAAGAACGGCAGCTGCGCGCCAGTACATCTCGTCATGTCTGATGAACTCCAGAGCATCACCGGCGTGTATTTCAATAATCGAGGAAAGGTAAGTTAATACCATTCAAGATTTTGACATCTACTTGTAATCTTAGAATAACATGAAATGATTAGAAGATTACCTCGCTGAGCTCTGATTCGACCGACTGTACTCAACAAGATCGTCTATGGAAGATGAGCGAGGAGATATGTGCAAGATTTGGAGTTACTTTTTAGTGGACGATGACTAATCTACTAAAAGAGTCCTTGTAATCCGCAGCACGCAGTACCTGTTTCTTAATTACATACGTTGCGAATAAAATAAACTTTTTTCTCAAATATGCTCAGAAACACGACAAGTTGAAACAAAATCGGTAGAGTAGCGCAGTGGTAGTAATGCCGATCATCACGAGCACAGTGGTGGCTCAACCTCGCCCTGGTCTCACCTAGTCTACCATCTCTACGGGGTCAGAAAATTGGTACCAGACTTATTTGCGGAAAGCCCACTGTCTACAATCCGAGTGGAAACGCTGTATCTCGGCTGGCTCAGGGCTCTAGAGAGAATCGACTCGACAAGCGCTGAACGATATTCATGACGAAAAGAATGCATTCAACAACCAGCCGAATCTAAACGCAAAAGTTGGAAGTCGCAACCTTCGTGAATCATGATGGATACCAGGAAACGAATTGAATGGATAGAAGTACTGGGATCTGGACAGAATATATGAAATATGGGTCATGTAAAATGAAAAAAGTAAGTAATACAAAAAAGTACTGAGCCGCATATATTACCGTTCTGCCGTTATGCTCCGCTCACTATATATTTTCGAATCAATAGGTTTTGGTTAATTGTGAGAATCGTTGCCACCACAAAACTTTCCTCCGGTCCAAACTATTACCAACTGCCCTTGGTTAAGGCCTGGAACAGTTTTGGCGGAGCCGTTTTGAAATTTTAGCGAAAGAATAAATTGCTCAAGCAACAGTGTACTAGTCTCAATATGCTCTTCGCTATGATTTCGGGCCCTGGAACGTCCTTTACATACTTTTTGTAAAGGAGGTATGAGAAGTACTTAACGAGATAAGAGCAGCGGCAATGAGTGACGCTGCAGAATAACACCTGCAAGGTCAGTCGGAAATTTGCCAGTTAAATTACCAATAAGAACCTCTTCTAAAATTCCGACGGAGTAATCATGTATCCTCAAGCGGAAAAGGTAGGAGGACGGATGCCTAAACGTCATCAACTGGCATCCATCCATATTCTCTTGGATCATTGAAATAACACGAGGTCGGTATGAGGTTTTATTCGGCTAACATTTCGACCTCTTCGTCTTCTTCAGAGCCGGATCAGTTCGAATCGATTGTCCACATCCGTTCGTCCTTGTAATATATGCTGTTCGTTGTCGCGTTGGGTGAACTTTGTTAGATTGGAGCACCGCTCATATGAATCGACAGTGCAGTTTTATACACGACGGATGTTGATTTATTACTGCTATCCAATATTATCTGTTTTTTGGCGGCAATGCATCGTACAAAATTCGGTATTATTATGTCAGCGTGCACATGGCGTGACAATATTGCTTAAAAATGACTTTCTTTCAACCTAAATAAAAACAGTCAATATCCTTTTGGGCACAACCCATGGAGAAAGCTTCAGAATAACGGATCACATTCACAAGGTAACGGGACTCATTAAATCACTCCTAAAACACAAGATGTCACTTCGTCCCACTACCATCGACATGAGGACATCGTCGACTCAGCTGAGACAAAAGTAGTTATGGACAAGTTAGAACACAAAGGCCCCACTACTCAGTAGGCAGAGAAAAAATTGCATAATCAAAACTTCACTGCAGCATTATCACTGGCGTAAGGAGACGAGCTTGAGAAAGCGAAATCACTGTTTTTCTTTATGGAGAAATAGAAGTTTCTTGTTACAGCATTTAACAGTACACAACAGCTGAGGTTTCAACGGGTTTGCCTTCTACAGAACCTCGAAAGGTCAAATTAACATGCAGTCTACTTAACCAAACACTTCCATAACCTCCTGAGAAGATTTTGAGGTAATAATCACTTCCCTAAAATTCACGGGAATTCGGAAAATCAGCGCGTAAAACTCTTAAAGTGTTTTGGTTAAATTCTAGAAATCAGAAAACGAACCTGTATGAAGGACTGTCTTGTAACCACGCGTGAGTCATACCTCAGACTAATTCTCCTAGCTTAGGCAGGCGCATTCGTCTCCTATATAATACTCTGTGCGACTGGCTTCCAAAAATAACTGGAGGAATTAGAAAGGAACGGTGAGTGTGTAGAAGAAGTTGTTTATTATGTGAATGTGAATTTACGTATTAAGTTATATTTCCTGAGAATGAGAAAGTGTATGGCTGAGTAGATTGCATGTCAGTTTGACCTTCACAGGTTCTGAAGCAATCGGGAGAAGAGGGGCGCAAAACCGCCGAAACGTCAGCTTTTTTTTTCCACGTGTAGGTCCCAGCACTTCTCATATTCAATTCGATTCCTCACATCCATTGTCTACAATGATCTCCCAACCTTTTACGTGTGGCTTCAATTGCTGCTTGAGAATTTTTAATTTCGTCTTGAATGTCGTAGAATGCTGGTCGAGCAATTCTCCTTGGAATCCTGAGATAGCCGGGCTGGAACGTTCCCAGTTGGGTTGCAGAGAGTGATTTTTTTCCAGGCATATCCACTACCAATGTTTCGACGCCGGAAAAGTGGGAGATTTGGTTGGTCCGGAGCAGAATCGAGCTAGCATCATGCTCGTGATGACGTATATCACTAGCATTGTGCTATCCCCGTAATTAATAAATGCTATGCTAACAAGCAGAGAATTATTGATCAATTCCGAGGTTAAAAGAAATTCGGTCTTGGGATTTGCTAAAGCCATATCAGCTTTCCAAAATTACTGACATTACCGATAGAATCATGCAAAAACTGACATGCTTAATATGAGAGCAAAAGTCGATGGTCGGCAACTGCCTTCGGAGAATTAGTCTTCGGTTGAATCATAAGAAAATTATTTTTGTTAGGAACGGACTCGTTTCCGATGGAATGTGACAGTGTACGCTGGAAAGATTTGATATCAAAAGAGTGGTGTTAAGATGATTTTGCTCGTCGAAAATGACTGATTGAATTCGAATTTCTATCCTACGCTGATTATAGGCCACCAAAGATTAGTGATGCCATCATATGCATTGGAATTTTAAGATTCATATGGCTTAGACTCGTTCGCGCCCTAGTGATAACCAGTCGACATGAGGTGTTAATGATTAAGACTCACCGGATGTCAAGTGCTTGATGACCATCGACCTGATAGTCGGAGTTTTAGCGAAGATCGTGGACGAAGAATATAACCCTACATGTCCTTCAGGACCATGGGAACCACCGCGCAACTCTGGATGAAACAAGGAGTAGCGAAAGGATTATTGCCACTCACTGAAGTTAATCGTTGATCAGCGGGCAGACAAATGGTGCAAGCAATTCTTTTGGTAATGTACTATCTCAAAATCCGTAGAGTCTACTCTTATGAACAGAACTGGATAAATCCTGACACTGCTGTTAAGCGTTCAGAACTTCGTTTCACCCAAATTCATTTGACGCGGGAACTATCTAACATCAAAGAAACCGAATTTTTGTACCTCGCAAAGCCAATGAAATCTGTAGCGGTAGAAACGACGTGGACGAATAAACATGAAAGAAAACTAGCATTTCTTTTCTAACCAGCAAAAGAGGGTTATTGCAAATTCCGAACTTGCACCCCTTCATAAAATATGTAGATAAGAAGCCAGAATGCTAGACAGAAATCTCACAAAATTAGTGCGAAACAGAAAATGTAATCCTTCGGATGACACGATTTGAAGGTCGTCTTTAGTTTTGCAACGGCTTACCCCGTCACAAAATTAAGGACTAACTTCGAGTCGTGTCATCCGGAAAATTATATTAAGTCTTCAAAATTCCAGTTCTGGTGTCTCTTCACTGTCAAATATTCATTGAAAGAAGATTCTTTATAATGACACAACTAGCATGGATAGCAAGCATTTGTAAAAGAGCATCATCACGAAAAGCTGGGCTGATTAAGTCATTACCTCCTTTCGATGTAATGCACTCTGACATAAAGAGGCCACTTCACTCTTGTAAATGACTAGTGACTGTGAGAGTAGATGGATGGAGTTTTCAAAACAACTCAACAACAACGACAATGTTTATATAAGCTATTCGAATTGGCGTTTCTTGGCTATGACGCGGATCTGCACCTTTCACATAATTCATGGTGTTCTCGCAGGAATTTGATGATAGCCATATAATTTCCTTGTGGAACGATGGCGCAACAGCGCAGATGGCCTAAATCAATGATCTTTTTTTTCTTCTGCTTCTGCCCCAAGAATGAAAATTGTAACGAAATCAATCTTGCACTGTTAGAGAGCCACTCCGGAATCTCGACTCTGGATCCACGATCACCGTTTTCGCTCTGTGTGGACGATCCCTATCTAGATGCTTTCTGACAATTTCTCTACTGTGCGATTGCTTCCACACTGAACCAACTCTTTGAAGGCCAATTTTATGGTCTATAGCTATAAGGTAACATCATCTGACACGGGATGACATCCACATGGCGTATTTTGAAGATTGTTAGCGATTTCCTGCACTTCTTGAGTTAGTTAACCTTTGCCGCTTCAGTTAAGTGTTGTTCGTTGAGTAAATAATAGCTCAAAACTCCATGCTGCTGTTTGGTGAGCGATTGAATAGCTGAGCGAGTATTCTAACACTTTTAGAACCGCCGGGATGCTCTCATCTGCTCTAATCTTCTGCTTGCTAATTCGACTTATGTTCACCAAACAAGGACACCCGGCTTTCCGCTGCGCATTGACATTTCTTCTAGTAATTACTGATGCCTTAAGCTTTTCTACAATGTTTACAGTAATAAGTGTAAACGTCTAAAATAAAAGCAGAATGAATTACGATTCACACACCGAAGTCGACAAGTGCACAAATGAAATATCAGCTTTATTTAGTTTATCTAAAATTAAGCAACAGAAGATTCGTGAAATAAATCCAATAATTTCCTTCGATACTTGAAAGATGAGCCTTAAACGTGGGTGCATGGGCTTGTTATGCCACCCTTCAACTGTTTGTGGAACACGTCCACAATTTTCTGGTCTTACGGGAGTGATGAAAATATCGTTGGATGAAATGGATGTATCTAAAGCAGAACTCGTATGCGAAGAGTAGACGGTCAGCAATGAAGAAGCTTGTCTGAAGGTAGGCATGTGATAAGAGATAGATCGACGATGAGAACAACGCCTCTAGAATTTTGCAATGAAACCTTCTCATCACGCGACTGGCTACGGTTTCATCATTTGAATATGGTAACACGTGACTCTTTGACTTCGGTTTCTTCTTAGCACTTCGTACGAACCGTCAACGGGATTACAAGGTTATTGTCAAAGGTCAGTGTATGTTTTTTTTTCCACATTTTACGTGCTCACTCAAGATCGAAGTCGCTGTTAACTAGTACTTGATCCCATTTATTAATTTGCTGGATAAACGTAGATTTTATTGCGTTTCACAAATCTGGCCACTCTAATGGCAGCACAGCTCGCTGTTCCTACTACTTGTACTCTTCTATGTTGGTCGTTCTTTAGTGGTGGTAACCGTACAATCTTAACCTGAACTGGCGATATGTCGTGCTTCGAACAAGCTTTGTCACTCATCGACTAAGGTCTATCAAGGAGAAAAGAATCCGAACAATAGCGTTTGCCTTATTCATAGTCCAGAAGGGTACCTGAGAAAATTAAATTCTACAACCCGTCAGTGTTTGATGCTGTTGAAACTCAAGGAAAAATGAATGCAGACTCATGAATTCAACTACTTGCGCACAAATTTGCGGCACACTCGAGCCATACTTTCTGGAAGCAATCCGAAGCACTCTATACTGCTCCGGTTTTGCGTAAGACAGATCTTCAGAAAATATCGCACTTTCCAGGCCAGCAAAATTTTAGCAGAGGGTTATGGATAGGTCATTCTTGTAATACAACGAGAACGGGTGGAGAAGGTGAGCTTGGAAGTGAATTCCAGAGGAATTAAAAGGATATAGATAAATTAATGTAGATAGAAACTCCAAAAATGCAGGAGTACTGACGTTGCATTCACAGCTAGAACCAACCCTCAGATTTTTGAACCACACTTGAACTGCACATCACAGCAACTTCATTCTCAAGAAGCTCGCCATTAAAACAGCAACGCATTCGGTAGGTGGCAAGATGTGGCGTCCTTGTAAATCCATTGCATGGCCAACAAAAGTTGGGAAGCTGCTAAATCTGTGATGATTTTCACTTCCAAGAAGCGGAAATATGTGCATGGTAGCTGAAAAAATTGTAATATTCATTGGTCTTGTCTTAATCATCGGTTATCGGAGAGGTCTTTTTATCGTGGGAATCATACACGTTCTTTATTACACTGGAATTATTGAATTGCTGTCATTCATTCATTTTACCAACCAGTACTACGTAGATTTTCTATCGCAATAGACGACCCTCACCCGGAAGAATTCGTAGAATCATCATGATGTTCCTATTTTCATGAGGCTGAGTATAAGTTCCTAGTTAACTCATTTAAGTTCCCTTGTTCACAGCTCTATAAAATTTGTGACACAAAACTCATTTCACTGTCACTCACACTATCTACGCGTTATATCTGGAAGAACAGGATTCAATCGACAATATCAGCGATAGCATCCATGAGCCAAAAAACTATCCCATATAAAGGACTACCCATCGAATGACGGCAAAAACCTCTAAAATTGAATCGTATGAGATCGTATCACTGGCTGGGTGGGTTTGGATGAGTACAAAACATTTCGTTGAACTTGTAAAAGCACAACTTAATGACAAAATTAAATTGTGGAACAATCAAAGACATCCTACATTGGGTTTTTCTCGCTAGACCGTCGCTTGCTTTTGAATCGTTCTCGCTTGCTGCTCTTTCTCTTTTCTTACGAAAAGCTCACTTACGTCCGCGTAGATGATGTTTCTGTCGTTCTTTCGTGTCTGATTTACTCACTCCTCAGCGTCGTCCTTTGTCACCTCATTCTGCTTTGGACCGTCACATGCATGGCTACCGCTCCGTCAGGGAATAATGTCGGTTCGTTATGTTCTCATCCACTATTCCAAAACTTGCCAGCCTATTAGTTCTTTTAGCTAACAGAAATATTAGTCGTGTTAAGAACACTTATAAAACATTCCACATTAAATCTTTTAGTAAGTAATAGTACAGTAGACATTGCAAAACATCTTTTTGAACTGATGCGAGGTTGGTTCAAGTTGTCGTTGCTGTTGTTACTACTATGGTTCGATGGCTGACGTTTCGGCGGCTTCGTCTTCATCAGAGCCGTGTTGTTGCTTGTGACACCAGCACGGGTGAGCAACAACAAGACAATTTGTACCAATCCCACATCGGTTTGACAAGAGCTGTTCCTAAGAATATTTATAGACATATATCAATTATTTATGCTGAGGTTTGTAGAAAGTCGGTGTTTTGAATTATAAAACGCCGTTCATGTGAGCTGTACCTTCAGTGTCGCAGCGATATCACTGTTATAAATAGTTACGGTTGTAGAGTGTCTTAAAATTCATTAGACCCACTATTTCGGAAGCCACAACGGAAAAACTGGGAGCAGAAAACAATACCGTGCAGTTATAGTAATAAACTACACGTGTCAGAACTTCAATGGAAAGCAAATGAGCAGTTCTTGGATGTTCATACTGTAGGTGAAGTAGACGTGTACTATCTCCAGTGCACAAAGATTTCGGTTGTTTCAAATGAATAGGTTAGGCTACTTAAAAGCAAACTGCTATCTAAGAAGAAAGAACAAAGAGAATTGGTTCTGTTTTGCTGTTGAATACGACAATTTCACTTAGAAGAAAGCTTTATTTCATGACTCATCTATCACGTGAACATGAAGAAGGCAGCGGATGTTTATGATGGCCCAATCGTCCACACTTTCATTCTTCCAATTCAATTTTGACTTGAACAGCCTAAATAGTCTAGTTCGCTGCCAATTCTCCTACAACACTGATTGTTATGCGGGCAGAATATCTGTCAGAATCTGAAAGAATGTAAAATTTGCTTCGGGTAGAATAAATAAGAACCGAAAGGGAATAGGTCGTGCCTGAAAATAGCGTTATGGTCAAGGGATAAAAAGTAATCTCCAGAAGGCGATGAAGGAACGCTCAATGCGATGCGGAAGGCTAAGGTGAGATTCGAGTCTGACTTGTCGAACGACGACTCCGATTCTGACGATCAGCAGCCTGTCAGCGAAGCCGATGAGAAAGATCAAGACAAGGTCTCTCTAATCAATTTATTGATTAGATTCATTTTTTCCAATTTGTATTTGATGAAATGCAGTCTAAAGTAGGACGAATAGAAATTATAAATTTATGAGAGTAAAATCGTAAATTTACCAAGTCATTCTACTGAAGGTAAAAGATACTCGTCAATTGCCAACGATAGTTACTTTAAAAAGTGCTGTTGTCACCGGATGCAGCATACAGCTCAGATCTTCAGTATTCTAAACTTCAGCAAAAATCATCATCAAATTGGGGCATTTTGGGTCGAATTCAAAAGAGAAAAGTGCCCGTTCGCCGACCCACAGCATATGTGTTTCCTAAGAGCACCAACAGAGCGAAAGGCGAGGACGAAAACAAGGATAGGCCGGCGGACACAAATACGCCAAAAATTGGAACTCACGTATGTTCTTTATATCTGTGATTCTGACAACATTCATCGATCTTTGAGTTCTGGGTCATGTCTAAAGTTCTTGACATTTTCCTACTTATAGGAGAAAAGATCTGCCAGAGATTCTATTTTGAGACGATTTAAAAATCCCTTCAAAGCCATTAAAAACTCTAAGGCTCTCGGCGTTGATCAATCCCTGAGGGATGCGCCATGCGCTCGACTTCAACAGATATCGTTAGAGGCGATTGATTGCATACCTGACCTACACAATGACTCGCGGTGGTCTATCGATGTATCGAGTCAGTGCTGTTATCCTCCTAGACAAGTTTGCTACAAATTTGCCAACCCTGGAGGAACGGAGGGCTTAATGAGCCTGGGGCGCGAGATCGATGCCATGTGTATTACGAGGTGCCTCTAACCACTGGGGTACACGCGCCGCTCTAGGTTTTTTCTTTTTTATCACTTGTAGGGTCTATTGAGTTATGGGTAGATATTTCACAGATTCCAAATACATGACGAAATTGACTACCCCACGAAAGAAAAAGTAGAACAGCATTGGACCAAACCACTTTCATTCATAGCTGTATCGAAACATCAGCAAGAAAGACAAAACCATTCTCGACCTATTTAATTTCTTGGTAAGATTCACTGCTCTGAACCCAACACATAAATCCTACGCATAGAATGAGAAGCTCACGCAGAATGCTTAGTAGTAAGAACTCTTTTCAAATGATGCTAACCAACTTGGGTCCTTCTACTTATTCGATTTAACGCCTCTTATATTCCTTATATTCTATATTTCCAAGGTTCCAAATCTCCTTTTACTTGTAGAACTGTTATCTGGAGCTAGAAATAGCAACCGTACTTCTGAATACTTGTATTTCGTGCAATATGAACGAAATAAGAATAGCGTCTATATGAGAAAGATTACTTTTTAGACCTCAAACAAGACGCCTAATCTGGAAAAAAGGCTAGATCAACTATCGGTAAAACACGAACATGACGATCGTTCTCCAGAGCGGTACGACCGAACATCGTATTCCAAAGATTCGCGAGAGGTGGATAACAAATAGAACACGATGACATCCAAAGCTTCCGTCTTACTTCACGAGTGCAAACACGAAGCAATCTGTTGTTTTTAATAACCTCTAATTGTTTCTTTGTGATTTTTCTACACAACAAAAGACCTTGTGGTACTTTTATTAGAACCTTCAGAGTTGTTGTAGTCATATATCATGACAGAAAATGGCAATAAATAGCGAATGATCAACATAGTCGCTTCTCAGAGAACAAAAAACAACACAGAAAAGTTTCTAATAATAGATGAGTAGATAAGATAAACTCAAGGAAGAAGAAACCAGACACAAGTGTATCACAAACCGGCTATTAATCAAGTTTTAGTGTCATTCTCAAGCGCTTCATCTGCCTCACAAAATTTTGGTTTCATGCAATCCTCCACATACGCGACTTCTAAAGGTGAGACTGCCACACCATTCCATATTGAGACTTCTTTGCTTAGATCTAAACATGCGTCCATAATCATATGGAATTGTTACTTTTTCATTTTTATTTTTACACGACCCGTCTTCACGTGTACTGTGCGGATCCCAGCACTTCTCACATTCGATTCGTTCCCTCTCATCCATTATCCACGAAGATCTTCCAACTTTTATTACGTTTGGCTTCGGCTACTGCTTGAAGATTCCCACTTCATCTTGAATGTCGTAGAATGCTGATCTAGTCAATTCTCCTTGGAGTCCTGGAATGGCCGAGCTGGAACGTTCCCAATTGGATTGCAGAGTGATTTCTTGCCGGACAAATCTCGTGCCAATTTTCCAACCTCGGGGGATTCAGGTTTTGGTTGGCCCATCGAACTTGCACCATGCTCGTGATGACCAACATCACTAGCACTGTACTATCCGTCCCCTCTAGCATATGGAATACCTTCAATGAAACAAACGCTGTACGTTAAATTACCAATATTTTTAAGGGCGACCAAACAGTGTTTGAAAAATCTACTTAAATTAAAAAAGGGAAGGGCTCATCACTACATCTACTTGTTTAAATTCATTTTTATGTGACTTTAACAGATTGACAAAACTCTAACTAGGTCTCAAATGTACAATACCGTCTTACCAATGCCAATTTTCGTCGGATCTATCCCCAAAACAGCAGCATGGCCACCATTACAAATAACTCGTAGTAAAGTCTGTGCAGTACTACATACGAGGTCCTGCAATTCGCCACCTCGATTAATAAATCAAGACTTATGTTATATGCAAAATTATTCTATACAGAAAAACGCCAAGAACTTGCCATATCTTCAAATGAGAGATCATAACCTATTCGCATTCCTGGCTCAGTGGGATCAAACAATGCAGGACTTCCAGGTAAAAATATCCCTAAATCATAATAGTCATCAGTCTGAGCATCTCATGAGCACTATGCAGACTTAAAAAACCGCGGGGAAAACAAACACATTCTCTTATTGAGGTTTCAGTTGCCAAGGAATAACTAGAAACCATTCGCTAGAATACGGCTAAGAATTACATACCCGTAGCAAGAGCTTCAAACACTCTTCTAAAAGCAGGACCAAGAGGTAACGGCTGTCGGTTTGCGGTGTTCATAACGGCAAAATGAGCCTCAAAACAGAGAATGATAAGTTTGAAGCTGTTACGTGTTCGATATAATATCAACTAATAACACCTGCCAAGTATTCGATGACCCACACTGACAGTGGCTGAAGACCGCTATGACGTCGCCGTATGTCTTTCAATACTCGGACTAACACCTATAACCAATAATAAGAAACAGCTCGACAAGTACAACGTAGAATAGCAAACCACCTTAAAAGGAGACTGTAACGTAGCTTCTTCAAACCAAACAACGTGTCGAAGGGCATGGTGATTGATCATCATCACACGCTCTGCCACTGAAACTTGTAGAACGGCTAAATAGTCCCAGAATATCTTCGGCATCATGACAAAAAACCAGATCAAAGATTCCATAAAACAAAATAAAAGTCACAGTGAAGATCAGGTTCCAAATTTGGAGCATTGATAGGAAGCGTTGTGATGAGGATACGTACTTGAACGTTAGCAGCCGCCAAAAGACAACCGTATTCACGTGAAACGCATGAGACGACTATAAAAAATAGGTTAAAAACGTAAAACACGTGAAAAGCATCATTGTCACATAAGGTTACCTTCTTTTTGAGCTCTTAACTCCTCTGCTAACTTATTACCCAAAGCAGCTACTGCCTCAACTGGAAAGAAACCGATAAAGTTTGCAAACCTTGATTACCTAGGCCTATTCTCTTAATCAAACAGCATTGAAGCTGATGTATCTCAAAAAAGGCTTACATGTTGGAAGCGTCTGCATGACAATTACAATATCGGCAACAGTATGACCAGTAAGAGCAGTATCCTTCTTCGTCGAACCCACTTCGCGATATTCATCGAATTTCTGCAGAATATCACACAGCACTGATTTTTAGGTGCATGCGTTTGCAATTTAAAGAAAAACCAGTAAGAAAAAACTTACAACACCAGGAACGCAATCAGGTGTACTCATGACTTTATCGAGCGCTGTTTTTACTTTCAGAACCAGCGCCGCCACAGCCGCACGTTCAGAATCGGTAGGGGTAAGAGCCGTAGCACGTGCTACCACATCCTAATACAAAGAAAATTACTGGGCTTCCCGAACAAATAACAGCCAAAGTCCTAGCAACACGAATATTTCCGAGAACATCGATAGTACACGAAAACGTCGTATTGTCGAAAGATCTCCGCTATTTTTTAATACTCTTGCTTGTTGCTTAGCTCGATAGAGACAAGAGGCTATCGGATTATCTCCACTCTTGTCTTAGACAGCGCGTTATGTTACTTCGCAGACACAGGAATGTTCTATGGTTCACAACAATTAAGCCTACATTCTATTCTCCAGGCCAAACACAAATATGTCTTATACCCAACCATTAACAAGGCAAAAAATACCACAAACTGCAAAGTAGGAAAAATTGGTAAGAACACTAAAGCGTTGAAATTCTAGACAGACACGGTTCTCCGTTTTCCAGTAGTAGGATAACTCCATGCGATCTACTTCACAGATGCCCAAGCTCCGCATGAAAACACCTGCTTTTTTTCCCAAAATATGACATTATTTAACATTAAACTGATCAACTTCTCAAAAGCAGAGGCAAGAAAGCCATACAATATGTCATAACTGACTAAGAGAGAGGTCATACAGTTGCTTTTTATGAATTTCCTTCGCTGCAACAATGCTAAGGTTAACCGAGAAACGTGGTTCATGATGATACCTTTCCACACTACAAGAGTCCACTCCCCAAGTCTTGTGCTAGGAAATGTACAACTGGAAACTGAATAAAATTATCCTTTCTTTGAAAGTATTTACCTGAGTAAGCTGTGCGTCATTATTCTCATTGATCCTAACGAAAACATCGTTTGCGAGATGTATATCAAAAGGAGGAGGTCGTACGGGAAACGTAGGTCCTCCCACAAAACCTCCACGACTCCGAGGATCTCCTCGGTATCCGCCGCCTCGCATCTGTAATAAAACAGATGCATGTCAAACTTTTGAAGCTATCCACTTACAAACAAAAAAAAAATAAAGGGGACCTAATACTTCCGCTATAAAAAACATGCAGCATTTACAGGACGAACACTGCCGATGGTAACACCGAACTGGTGGCCCATTCAATGACCACAAATGACAAGACACATGGGATTTTCACTATGGTTCCTTTTCCAAGGCCTCGAGGAAACACGAGTCGACAACGACCACCCTCTCCTGAACGGCCACAAAAACAGCGACCCTCACCCGCAAAAATAAGAAGGAAACTTATTAGGGATAGCAGCAAACCACATGACTCGATGGAGACGAAAACCAAAAACCGAACTTCTCCATACGTAGCTAATAACTAAAATCAGAGAAAACCAGATGAGTGACAGCCAAACGAAGGACCCGCATGGTGTGCTGGTGAACGTCTTAGCCCCTAGAAAGGATGATAGCGCGTTCGCTCTCCACCGCAGACACCTGCAGTCCGGAGTTTTGCAAATATCTCGGCATCATTGTAGTTGTAAAAGCAAAGATTCTGGAGAAATCACACACACTCGTTCATTACAGATAAAGACGTCGAAAAACATCGAACTAAAAGTAAACTGGGAAGTCGTACGAGAACGAACTTTTGCATACTTGTACAAATGTAACCATTCTAGCCGAGAAAGATTGAAAAAAACAAAAATAAATGAGAAAAAAAGGAAAGAATACTACTACTCACCGACTTGAGCCTCATCCAGTGACGGCGTGACATCGATTGCGGCTGACGTGGCGGTCAGCTCGCGACTGGCGACGAGTGGTGGCCCTTCGGAATCGATCGGATCGCCGTCCGGCTGTCACTTACCGTTACCATCATTTCGGTAATATGCGTTGTTTTCTTCGTCAGTTTCAGGTTAAACGTCACTTGAAGTAAACTATTTCGTGGTGTCTCATAGAACCCCATGAACAAAGCACCAGCACGAACGTGACGTTGATGTCGTCGAAGACGGCGATGATCAACTACCGGCCGACGTTCACCGCAAGACTACTGGTCAAAGGGTGGCTGCAAATCGATTTGTCAGCCAGCAGGTAAACGATCGAATGGCCCTTGGAGTGACATTTTTGGCCGGAACTGGTGAACTACCATGTTTTTCGTCAACACGCGTGATGATAGAAGAACATATTGGCGATGAAGAGCATATTCCTTACCTCTCCATAGTATGTCATGCCGGATTTCTCTGTTGACTTCAAAGTGTCCTGTTCACTTGGCAAATCAAGCTCCCAACGTGTCCAACTTGTCGACCTCGGAATACGTGGCATCCACTACAAAGCGGTATATATGGAATGCCTCTCAATGTAGGAGCCATTCCAACCGCTCTTTTCTCTTCTGTGCTCTACCAATCTACCATCACTCATCCTCGGCGAGCAGTAGGTACGTTTCCATATGTCACTTGTTTCTCACACTGCTTCTTCAGTCTATTTCAAAGGCTCCTCTCTGGCAGTCAGTTACTCCTCTTTCTTTATATTATGCATATTGATTTTTTCATTGTTTTCCGGCATGTGCATTTTTCGATATCGTGTTGTCATTGTCCTGTTAATAATGTTATATAGAACTTTGGCTACAAAATTTCAAGTCTGACATAATCACAAATCAGTGGGAACCGCGTGGCAGTGCGACATACTCCCTCGAAACATGTACTTCTAAGCGCCTTCACACCAGACGGTGTTCCCGCCGGTTATTCTTTGGTTCGGTACGTTCTTGAGCTTCCTGACGAAGCTCCTTCTTCTCGGCTGTTTTAAATCCTGTTGAAATGATGATCCACAGAAGACGTTTTATAGCAGTTTTGTTAAATTTCTTTCAGCTTGGTCTGCCCTAGGTGATTACGGAAGAAAAAGTTCGTTTTAGAGAGCTTTATTTTCATTAGCGAGCAGTCGCATTGTTATTAACAAGTAGTTTTTGTTTCCAAGTTCAAAGTTCAATCTCAACTCATGATGTCTGACTCTCAAGTTAGCTCGGCTGCCGCTTGAGACCACTCCTCATTTGATCGTAGCTGCATAGATAGTGAAACTTGGCCAAGTCAAAACCGCAGCTTATGAACAGCGCTGATTATTCGACGATAGACGATAATTTTTGATAGCTGGAAGACCTCTGGGATTGGGTACGTTCTGAGAAAACGTTATTTTCTCGGAGGAGACTTTGCGTTGTCACCCTTGAAGCATACAGTGTCTATTCTACACTTTTATTTCATTTTCGGGTTGTTTTAAATTCAGCATGTTTGAAAAACTCCAATTTTTATCGTGATCTAGTAGGAAAGCTTGTATCTATTGACAACGGTCTCTAGATTCCAATAGTTTTCATTTCAATTGATGGACTTCATTATGAGCTGAGATGTTGCTGTTTAACCCATAACGCCCCGGTGTTGTTTCACAAAGCTGGTCCAGTAGAATACGAGCAATTTTTCTTCGGCTGCGGACTTTCTGTTTTCTGACGATAACAAACAATGTTTCGATAACTAGAGTGCTTTACGACGGTTTACCGCTTCATCGTGGCAGAGAGGTGTTCCTGGGTGCCGAGCTGTCATGTACAGCAGAGGGATTCATCCTCACGGCACGGTCTCCCAGGCTGAGAACGAGTCCGGTGTTTCCATCAGGAAGCCTAGCTAAGAATAAACCAATACCAGGATTAACCACCGTCCTGGTATCAAATTAGTCGCATGGTGGCAGATCTCCCTCTGATCCACAAGGGCTGCCACTACCTGTGGTGGTGAAGACCTCGGGCAGACTTTGGCCAAGTTGACCTCGCTCCACCTGGGGAACACCATGGCTAAGCCAGCAAAACTCCGAAAAATGGAGATTATGCTGAGATCCGCACAACCAGTAATGACGGGCCGCCCAAGTATCCAAGTAAGTAAAGTGCTTTACGACTTACGAACGAACATGAAAGAATTGTAGAGGAGACTTTGCTCTTTTTTTTCTACGGTTATGAATGACATTTATGCTGCAGTGCGTTACTGTGGTCGATCACGCAAAACATTGCTGTCATCACTTGAAGGAACTTTGCACCCATTTCGAGTCTATTTTGGTATTTTTTATATCCACACATTCTATACAATGGTCATAATGGCTAAAATGAAATAAGGGTTAATTGTTGGTCATATGGATCCATAAACTTTTTAGAAAAAAAGCTTTTTGCAAGTCATTAAGCTTAGAGAATAGCTTTTTCGGTCCTCCCGTATCCCGTGTTGATATGGTTTCGATTAGCTATCGAATAATTGAATATGCATAGTAAGATGTAAGAAAACTCTGCATCTCACTAAAATGAACATGGAGCTATAGTGTCCATACGGCTGTTTCGTCCAAAGCGCTAAAACCACTAATGTCCACATGGGTAGTTATGGGTTAAGGGTGTCTACTTTCAGGTACGTGTAAACTCGAAGTAAAAGCTAATCAGTAGGTTTAAGAAATGGTAGCATCAGTGAGATAGTGGAATTTTCTACAATTTTTATCTGAGAAATCACAGTCATTATTTCATAATTCTTGAAGATGATTCTGGAAGAACCAGGTATACGAAGCGCCCCTTATGAGGTTACCGTGATTTTGCACTTCCTCCACCGGTTTCTTCTTTTTGTTTTCTCTCGCTGTTTCTCACGTAGCTCTATTCATATATCATTCATTTTCGTGCTTCTAGGAAATTTCCCTTTTTATCATTTTGGATCATTTTGTCTGATAAAGGATTGAATGTTGTAGACTTGCGAAATCTCAATTTTCGACCACGTGTACTTCGGTTTTGATCAACTCTTCAAGAGTATGGCAAATGGAGAATAACGTGAAGCCTCAACCGCCTTCTCTCAATGGAACTAGTCAAAGCGAATCGGCGATAGAAGATGGTCGAAGTTTTGTCAGTAGTAAGTGCTCATGCGATAGAATGCTTCGTAACCTTTTCATCTTTGATGCTAGGCTGCTATCAATATACATTAGTTGGACTGGTACACATAACCGAGAGGTTTTTATAAGCTATTGCCGACATTTGGGAGCTGAGCGAAATATGTGAGGACGTTTATTCACGTGTTATAAATTACAGAAAATATTAAACATGGGAGAAGGCAAGTGATTCAGAACAGCACTCTGGAACACCTCATATTCGTACTTCACGAGGCATCTTAGGAAAAACCAAACCCATAAAGAAGCCGCACTAACGATTAGTTATCCCATCACAATTCAAGGCTGTTCACTAATCCATTGATGGTGAATGAGCCATACCATTGCTTGCACCCATATTTGCCGCTCTTAATGGGGTGGAATTGGTAGAACCTGAACACTAGGATGTTTTCTTCTAAGGTAACCGAGATGGAATAGCCACAACGCCTCATCATGATGTTCGTCTTACCGTAAGAAGTTTTCCAAAGTTCGATGACGAATAGCAAATCCGAGCTCATAAGGATTTATAATTAGAGGCACGTCTATAGAAATTGATGAACCTGGATACTGTCTGGCTACCCACATGCTTCCGTCATTCTAGCTAACAACATTGCAGGAGTTTCCTTCTTGTAGTAACTGCCACGACCGACTTTCTATTAACCTCGGCATTGATCAAGTAATGTTCTTCGTATTTTTGTTGAGCAAACGCGAGGTGTTATTATTCTTTGTTCACGAATAAGCTGACGTTTCGGCGGATTTCGTCTTCCTCAGAGCGGCTTCCTATGAGGTTTCCACTAAGTATGTCACGTAGAGACCAACCGCACAGAAATCACATGGAAGTATGATGTGTAGTATAGTATATATATAACATAGTATAGCGGCTCTGAGGAAGGCGAAATCCGCCGAAACGTCAGCTTATTCGTGAATAAAGAACAATAACATCTCGCGTTTGCTCAACAAAAATACGAAGAAAATTTCCTTCTTGTGTTTCGCATCTTTGTCGTATTCAACGAGTTTTATGAATGGGAAACGTTGACGAATCGTGAAACAACCAAATCCAAACATTTTGAAAACATTAAGAATGACTTCAAGGAGAACGAGTGCTAAAAAATGACGAGAATGTGAAGAGAAGAATGCGAATCGCTTGGCATGGAATGGTATTCTTTTCGCAAACTTGTTATCGTTAAAAACCATCCGGAAGTGAACATACAACCGTAAAGTAAGAATGCAAAAATGCTGACCAACTTTCAACCACTCATAACAGTATATTTGAAAGCTAACAAAATTGCTTCGTACAGAAAAAACCAAATGTATGGCTTCGGCAAACGAAGGTCAGCCATGTTGTTCAAACGAATCGACCAACAAAAGCCTATTTTCTTTTTATTTCGGAGTTTTTCCAAATAATTACAAATGATTTCTTTTCATTCAAGCAGCACTAACATATACATGATCTAGATGCTCGTGTTTGTTTTCCTTCAATGAGAACGGCTCCATCACTAAATGGTGATGATGATCATCATCAAATGTGAGAAAATGACGCAGTTTCTCATAGTACCATGTTTGAACTAGCAATAATTTTAGTAGATGAATGTTCAATGCTTAAATTCAAATTCCGTTATGTGCTACGGTTCTTGTGGTGCAGTGAAATGTTAAGTGAAGTTGGAAAAATATTCTGTATGAGGTCGGATTGCAAACATTAGTACAAACCTTAAAAATCGGTTTTCATTAAATTTCGGCGAGAATAATTGATGATTATTTGTATGATTGAGCTGAGACGAAGCTGATATCAAATACGTCTTCTCCATTGCCTCGCTGATCCGAGTCGATAGTCCACAACTGGGCGTTGTCGCCATGTAGTTGTTCGTGGTCGCATCGAATCGAATCTAGTTAAGGAAGCACCACTCAAATGGGGAACTTCATCAGCGATGTCCCTTCATACAGGACGTATATTATTGGTCGATTCCCATCTCCAGTATGGTCTGCTTTTTGGCGGATACTGCTTTTTGTAGCAATCGGTATTCCACTTCTTGGCACGTGGCCTGGCAATGTCTTAAAATTATATATGTACTAGTAGGAAGAGCGGTAACAGAAATTTTATTACTTTTTCGGTCAGAATCACAAATCTTTGAGTAGTCTGTTAGCAATTAATTATTCGAGAGAATTATTGCGAATGTTAGTAGAGAAGGTGATTAATCACATCCACTTTTGTTGTCTAGTCCTGTTAAACCAAAGAAATGATGCTGTGTGGGCTATGGCCATTAAAAGTGTTTCACCCCATTCGAACAACTTTTTTGGAAACCGAAGTAGACAAAAGTTGTGCGAAAATTGTTTGAATACTATGCAGCATATTTTTCTATGCTTATGGGAAAAAGTTGTGCACGCATTCATACTGCCACTTCTACTTCAGATGACGAAGAAGCAGTGATTGAAGAGAAGTGAGAAGTAGAAAGCAGAAGAATGCATCAGGAACCTTGCTGTACCTGCGGAATAATAGCATCAACTTCTACCAAGCAACTGGTTGAGCCGACATGTTATCAACTGCAACATAGTTTATTGTGAACATATTACCTCAGAGCTGATCCCAGGCCAAAGTTTTCGTGATTCTGAAAATGGCCAAGCCATATTAAGACAATCTTTCAGTTCTACAAAGCCACTACGTTGGCTTTCCAAACGACGGCATGGGCTCCCTCCTTTCTCAAGTTGCTTTTTGACTTTCAAAATCGAAATTAAATGCAATGTTTTCCATTTTTCCCATATTTTCCACCAAATTTTATCCTTTTCCGAATATGTGGATGCCGTCGATAATATGTCGTTTCTGTTCCATTCTACCTACATAAGGATAATGAGCTTGTCATTTTTTTTTCACGTTGATGCTACATAGAATAAGTCGGCTATTAGAAAATGTTTCTCTGTCACGTAGAGGATACTCTGTATCAATAATAAAAATCACATGTCTCTCATATTCCTTATATATCTTGTTTTGCAAAATTAGCCCATATCGTAAGTTCTCGTTGATCTCAATCTAGATCGTTTGTTGAGCAGGTATGTGTAACCCTCCTGCCCAGTGGCTCTACCCACTGCAAGAGCAATATTTGTAGACCGACATAGATTTCAAACCTCATTTCAGCCAGTACTCTGTTGCGATGCCACTCTACTATGTTCTTTTTGACTAACAATTTATGATAACAGTTATTTCCTCCTATTATTCAAGCACTTGCTTAAATAAGACACTTTGCTATTGTCAGAGCTCCTAATTGTTCATCTTCGTTATACTACCTTTCCTTGTTGAGAATGTTATTGTTTATGTTGCTCTATCTTTTTGCAACTCTATCTTATCTTTTGAACCAATGAGAGGTGGTGCCTTTACCTTAAAGCAGCTTTGGGTGACCAACCCATATGCTATGTCCACAGAGTCCATCATGCACACGTGGTCCTCGAGCATGCTCTGAACCTCCACGTACAAATCATCCGAAAGTGGTGTAACCTCCTCCCCGTCCACGGTCCAGTCCTGGTCCGTGAAACTGATCAAGACGCTTCTTTGATAGCTCTTAAGCACTACTGCCACAATCCCTCATAACCGGGATTTCAACCACGTTATCGTCCGCTCCTATCAGTAAACTGTTTGATGCCACTTTGCTAGTCTGGTCCATGATGACTAGCAGCACGTCTTGGGCTCCAGGTACGACCGTGTAATCCGGGTATGATCCATATTCAATATTAAACTTGGAATCCGGAGTGAAACTTGCCTCAGTTGCCGTAGTTACATCAATCACGTCCCAATTCAATACTTCCTGGACCAGAAGTCTGTGGAACCCCTGCCAGACTCGTGTGTTCACAAACGACGCAATGTACAGCCAGATAGCGGCACTACCTAGATCCGCACTGTGAACAGGCACTACCGTAATATTTGAGTCTAAATCTTTCTACGTTTTGTTTTCTGCCTTCTATAATTTTCATGGCAGGTGGCAAAAAGACCGATAGAAATAGCTGAGAGACAGGCGAAACGAAGGACCCGCATGGTGCGGTGGTGAACTCGTTACTCCCCGGAAAGGACAATAGCGCGTTTGTTCCCCACCATAGAGACCTGCGGTCCAGAGTTTTGCAAATATCTCAGCAACGTTGTGGTTGTATTTCGCTTAGTAATCTGCCATGAAAATTATAGAAGGCAGAAAACAAAACGTAAAAACATTCTAAATCTTTCGCCGTCATCTACCGCCATCCCCGCAGAATCGCTGCTCCCGTCCTCACTGCCATATAATAACCTAGAGTCGTAAGGCCCACATTCGCAGATCGTTGTGAATGGCCTGTCACGACTGTTGACGTATGATACCATCTCAGTACTTTCCACTCGGGAAATTGATCTGCCACTTTGATCTCTGACATCACTAGGTGTGATGCTGACCATGTCAGTCTCATTAGTGCTAATCGTGCCGTGGCGGCTTCTTCGTAAAATGTTCCGGACGATGGTCTCACATAAGCGGCCAAGTGCACCGGACTGCCCACATCCATGTGTCCGGCTCCGTTGATCGTATTAACAATCGCGCCACTCCGGGCTATCGCCTTGGTGTTCATAAGGGTCTCTTGGAATTCGGCCCCCGTTGCGGTCAATGGAGCCGTCATCGGAGTCGAGAATGTTTGCGTCAATGACACTGATGACACTGAAAGATGAGTCGTATCCGTTATCAACCCATTCTTCTCCTGTTTCTGTGGGGACAAGCTTCCGTACTGCAGGGGCTGATGAAATAATGCCTCCGGGTAATATTGGTGACCTGTCGCCTGATAGCTCGCTGCTATCAGAAGTACATAGGGCAACATCGCGTCCGAATTCAATACCGCTTTGGTAGCTAAAGGCTGGGAAAACAATGGTATCGCTCGCGTTTGCTCGCTCGGCTGGGCGGTTCCGAGCAGCGTTTTCGCCAACCGAGAAAACTCGAATGCCGTAACTCTTGAAGCACATTGTGTCAATCAAGTGTTCTCGCATTTCTCAAAATCCATTATCATTTATTTTACCTTTCATGTACCCCCACTGAGTTTGACCACACATTAGCGAGGGAGGTGCCCGTTCTAATGTGCTGAGTCGCTACACCGTCAGGTCGCCATCTGTCTTTAACCCAACCACCTATCAACAAGCACGTAAGCTTCCGCGGAAACCAGGGAGCTGCCCTGGAACTGAGCCTCTCAACCCATTGCACCTTAAAGGGAACACCAACCAACGGTCACAAGCAGAATCTTAGATGCTTTGTGAACGCACCCCGGCCGTTTGCCGACATTGTCTGGGCCAAGACGTCATGTAGCAACTAATAGTGTGTTGTCTTGTTCTCGTCTGCTAACCTACCGAACCGTCCTTGACGCGACTCTCGGGTTCGGCCCGTTAGGTTTCTCCTAACAGTTGAGGACAGAAGCAACACGACCTGTCTCCTGTTCTCCTGATGGTGTAGCGACCCAGCACATTGGAATGGGCACCTCCCTCGCTAATGTGTGCTCAAAATCAGTGGGGGTACATGAAAAGTACAATAAATAATAATGGATTTTGAAAAATGCGAGAACATTTGATTGACACAGTGTGTTTCACGAGTTACGGCATCCGAGTTTTCTCGGGTGGCGAGAACGCTACTCGGACCCGCCCAGCCGAGCGAGCAAACGCAGACGATACCATTGTTTACCCAGCCTTTAGCTACCAAGGCGGGATTGAACGATGTTTGATAACACTGAATGATCTCTCTTCGCGATTTTCAGGATTCCGTTGAGCACAATATAGTACGAAGAATAGAAGAGAAGAAAAGTTCATCATTACATGGTCGGCTTCTTTTTAAGATTTTAAAGCTGATCATCCTGCTCCGCTTTGGAGCGCATTCGTTCATCACGACCATTTCTCAGCCATAGCTGTCAAACTTGATCGGCATTTATTACACCTGTGCAATGGTTGACACTATACTCTGATACTTGGACGGCCCGTCTTCACGAGTTGTGGGGACTCCAGCATATTCGCCATTCGCTCTCGAAGATGTGACAAATTTCGAAGATCAGAGCTTTGCATTCCGGCTAGATATTGAGAGTGCCGGTTATATTTCAGAAGACATCGCTCAACGCTCTGTGAGCAGTGCGGAGTATTCTTGACGTGGTTGAAGTATCAACCCACGTCTCAGCAGCATAAAAGAGCGCTGGGAGTACCAATGAATTGAAAAGGTGAGCGCGAATTTTCGGGTCCTTCCGTTGGTCGATGGCTTCTTCGAGAGGCCCGAGTGCAGTCCAAGCTGCTCTCCTTCTTTTGTCTAATTCCTCCTTCATGAAGCTTTCCACGTTCATTGATCGCTCAAGGTATACGTACGAGGTGGTCTCTGGAATCAGAGAATCATGCAACTCAATTCGTCCTGTCGCGCATATCAAGGATATTGGATGAGACGCAACCACTGGAGCCAGCAGGATATTAACAAGGATTTTGCAGCATGGACCACATAGTGTCCAGGGTCACTGACGTTGGTAGGGAATATCACTTGCCCCTAGTTCTAAACTTTGTCGACTATGAAAGGGCGTTTGAAAGAGGGATCTAGAGAAATAATAAGAAAAATTGTGCATAAATGAAGCAAGATTTACCACGGATACTTTGAACTCACTGTATTCCTTAATCTGGAAGACTTAGTATCACATTTTTATTACGGTTTTACCCACTCATATTCAGAAAAATACTAGGGTTTCGAAGCTTTAGAAGAGAGCTTCATCTTACCTTTTTTCGCTTATCTTAGAAAGGACTTTTTGCCTTCCGAATTTAAACATACGATCAGATAATTTTTGCAGGTCCTTAGCACCCACTTGGAGAGTTGCTCACAACTGGAAGGCAGTGGAATATTGAGCAGCTCTATATGGCTGCACAGCCAAGAGACCAATTTTGCTTCGATCAGTAAAGGCGTTTGACGAGCCGTTCACCTAAAACGTCAATGAGCATTTCCATGTCTGAAAATTCTCTGTCCAGAAATGAATAAACGCCACAGAAGTCTTGAAATCGTGAGAACTTTTTACAGATTATCATAGCTGGATAATTATTGCGATTGTTCTCAACGATGACCGAATCCAGAGTTAGAGTTAAATGTGCTATAGGCAACAAAAGGAGCAGAAGATCTCGCTTCAACCATGCCCAAAACACCTCCCGGCTTCAGGACGGGGTAGATCTCTTTCAAACACTGAAATGAATAAGGGTGAATAAGTAGAGTGGTTGCTGGAGGTTTCCTTTGATGACGATAAGACCCTGACTTATCATATACCTTCCAATAGTCAACAATAATTCAAGAACAAATACTTCGTTAAACCTAAGTAGTCGAAAAAATAAACTTATACCTTCCAAATAGACCAGTTGCAATGTTTTTGCATAGCTCAAGATGGTTGGTTCCATCTACGAGCAATGTTTTACCTCTTTGACTGTAAAATTGCTCTTTAGCATGGACAGTAGAGCCCAGTTCGGTGATGCGCCACTGTTGACGATACGGTATTTCCACGATCTATTACGAAAACAAGTCTTGCTTCTAACAAGTGTCGAGATAATCTGTTAGCGAATTATCCAGCTCCATCTGATGTATCTCAAGCTGAGAAAGGATGTACTCATGCCTCTTCATAAGATTCATGAGATTAATTAACGCTTTCATGAAGGTTATCACGTATTGAAATGTTAGATCATTCCGTCTTGTGGCAAAATAGAAAATTAACAACTTATGAAGGACATTCTAAACCGACCTTCATTTAAATTCGGTATAAATGATCAATGTACCTTGTTTGATTGATGAGTTAACACGAGGTTCTTAGCAAACATTTATTAGGTTAATGTTTCGACGTCTTAGCCTTTCGCAGAGTCGATGACCCGAGTCGATGTCCACAGTTGCTCGTATTACTGATTTGGTGCCTTCGTCGTCGTATCGAAGCGGATCTTCTTCAGTGGAGAGTCGCTCGAATAAGATAATCTCACCTGGCGATACTCTTTTATGCAGGGGTTGGTGCTGATATGATACTTGGATACTTGGTTGGCCCGTCTTCACTGATTGTGCGGACCCCAGTATAATTTCCATTCCCCGAAGTTTTGCTGGTTTAACCATCGTGTGTCCCTGGAGTCCCGAGGTCAGCTAGGTCAAAGTCTGCCTCAGGTCGTCACCACCATACGCAGTCGCTGCCCTTGTGGATCAGGGAGAGACTTGTCACCATGTGGTACTAGGACGGTGGTGGACCTTGGCACTCGTTTACTCTTAGCTGGACTTCCTGGTGGAAACACCGGACTCCTTTTCAGGTTGGGGGACCCTGCTAGGAGGATGAATTTTCCCGCCGTACATCACAGCCCTAAACCCAGCTGGAACCCGCACAACAAGTGAGGACGGGCCATTCAAGTATCAATTATCGAGTATGTATTACCTTTTAGGGTTTGATCAGGATTTAAGGGAGATGGCTCAACCTGTGGAAAGAAAAAATCCATCTTAAACATCTCTTGACATAAGTCTGGCTTTGTAAGAGTTTGCAATATCATCTCATTCCAACCTCTCTGTTACACTTCATCTCCTTTCATATAATGATTAAATATAAACCGTTTGAGAGTGAATTTTTGAACTTTAAAGTGACGATGAAGTGCTCGTGTGGTGCCGTGATCGGAGGCGCCCTGCAACACAGGCGGAATCGATCCCTACGCCCATGGCCCACCAAGGCTTCCACCCCTCCGGGGTCGGCAAATGGGTACCAGACTTGGCTAGGAGGATAGCAGCGCTAGTTCGATACATCAGTAGGCCACCGCGAGTCATTGTAAAGGCCAGATATGCACTCAATCACCTCCAAACGAGACTTAATGAAGTCGAATGCATGGCGCATCGCTCAGGAATTGATCAACGTCGAGAGCTATATCCTTCATCCTTTCTAAAGTGATAATAGTTATTTTGTGCAATGTAGGTAATAATTATCTCATTGAGAACAAAAAGGAATGCTGGTAGCATCTTGTTTACTATAAAACATCGTTTACTGATACTTTTCAATCGAAAATTATCCGAAATTATGCTCTTCCGGCATCGATGTTACACTTGACGTTGTGCATTTGGTCAATCAGCAAAAGTGTGTTAGCATTTTGTGCTGTTCACCTCGCACTCCGACGGTAGCGGCGAAGCACTGTAACGACATTTGTACAATTGGTTGTAGTTATACGATGAACGAGATGGAGAATAGCCCACCCTTGATGTCTTGCAGAAGCTTTTAGACCTGATAGATTGGCAAGGGATGATCGACTCGAAGAGGATTCGTTTCTATTGATTGAAACTCTTATTTAATCGGTATTCTCACGATGAATGTGAATCTTGTAGGGTACTTGTCGAATGAAACATAGAGCCTTTCTTACGGGTAGTATCCACTTTCAATGCTTCAAAGGTTTCCAGGAAGGAAAACGGTCAAACATTTGACAACTTGACTTTCATTGAAGTGAACGCGGGGCACATGGATGCAGACTGGACAGACAAATTTGATCTGGTAACAGTCGCAGTGTTTGTGGATCAGAAAGAGATTTGCCACCATGAGACCTTGATACCACGATGGTGGTGGACCCTGGTATTGGATAAAGGTGATAGATACTGTCAGAAAGTAGATCAAATGCAAACAACAACTCTCGTACACGACACTAATTCCACTGGAGTTAAACAAAGTGGACTGTGAAACTTTATCTTACTCATCACGTAAAATGGTTTTTTCTCCTAAAGGTGGTACTTTTTCATGCATGTCATCAACTCCTAGCTAAAAAGAAAGTTCGAACCAAGTCGTCGTTGAAAATACCTTTAAAGAGTTGGTTTCTTACTTGGAAGTTCTAAGAGTTTTTTAATTAGGCAAAAAAGGTTTGTTTCTAATGGTTCTAATACTGATGAATAAACTATACTTGAGTCAACTTGTGTCACTCGGTGTTTCAATTCAAAATGGGGTTTGTTAGAGTATAATCATTGCAAGGTAGCAACTCATATCAAACTTCAACTACTGTTACGATACGATGTGAAAAAGCAACGAGGTTTTATATGATTCCGACGAGAGTTTAAAATTTTAGAAGCGTGTCTAGAAGGGTAGCGCGAAATCCCTTACCACAGCCAACGTCCAGACACGCCATTCCTCCCTTCTCCAGTCGCTCCTACAATTTTCTGTCTTTTCAGGCATTGACAGCTTGGATTAGATAGTTTCTATGTTAACCAAATGATCGCAACCACAAAACATATACTTAAAAGCGTCAGAATCCCCAAAAACACCGAATTAATTTGTAACTAATTTGATCGTGAACACCTTCACGTCCGAGCCGAGAGACGGAATAAAATCGCTGATAGATGCTTCTTATGCAAGGTTTCACTGAACGACGCCATCATATCGTAAAAGCCAGAGTAATCCGAGTACTTCAGTCCTTAAGTAAGTCCGATGAGCAACATTTTCTTCAAAAATCAATTTCGGCATTAAACTGCTAAAACTGCCTAGTAGTTCGTCCTTTCTAAATACGTTGCAAACACTTTCGTACCCCTTTAGAAGCACAGTAAGAAATGCATTAAATTGAATGCCAGCACCACTGCTCAGATCCTCAACAATAGACGTCACAAGGAAGCATTTTTAGGGACCGAAACGTGACATTCTCCAATACTCTGCGTCGTTTAATGTATAGCACGCCCACGATTATAAAATGTTATGTCGGTATCGACAGAGGTGTTCAAGCCTTTGATTTCAATGTTTTCAAAAAGTAAGTTAACTAATCATTTTCCTTAAAGGAAATCGAGACTATGCAAACCTGGCTGTGCCAAATTTTTGGTGAGTGAACCAGTTCGCAAGAAAAATAAGAATGAAAATGCATACTTTACATCATACTTTTCTTCTTATAAACAAAGGCACTTTGTATTCGCAACAGTAACAACCCCTGCGACATTTAGTTGGCACGATGGCCAAAAATTGACTAAGAAATGAAAATGAGCAAATGATTTCGTAAGCAAAAGTGATATCCTATAATGAGCAAAATCAGAGATGTAAAGAAGAACAAAGTAGTTTGAAAATCAAAGATAATATCGTACAATGAGTAAAATCAGAGAGGTCAGACTAGCACAGTATCAGATCGACCAAGTACATATCGAAAGTGAAAGCCGCCAAAACTGGGTAAAACACCTTAAAAGCCTAAACTGTCCTCAAACAAGACGATAAACGAGTTCTTATGGTCATCTTTCTCCTCACACACATTCGACTCTGAGCTTTCACAAAACCGAAAAAACCGTTCTATCATTGACAACGAATTCTACACGGACGTAACGATGCACTGAGCATAGAAATAACCTAGGGCTCCGAGGTAAGAGCTTGAAAATTGGTGAAGAAATGGAAAAACCGTTCTCGTCAACACGAGTTTGCCCATGCGCATCGATTCATTCGAACAACTTTCAACACTGATCGCACGTTTACGATTAAAGCGATGTGGATCAATATTGGCAATGACAATCTTCGTCGTTTACGCGCCGACATTAAACTATGACGAAGAAGAAGTCGAAGCACTCTATATGGACTTGGAGAAGTTCTACAGAGATGACCACACATTCTTCAAGGTCACCATTGGAGATTTCAATGCCGAGATTGGACGAAGAGGAACGTCTGAAGAACGTCACTTTGGGACCCACGGATTAGAATGGAACGAACAGGGTGAGCAGCTGAGTTTATCACGGCGACCAAGACAATCCATGGGAACTCGCAATTCCAGAAGCCCCACCCTCAGCGTTGGACATGGGAGTCTCCCAATGGAGAGTTTCATAGCGATATAGACCACATCATAGTAAATCGAAGGTTTCGCCTAACCGACGTCGCTCTTGTCCCAAAACTCTACCTGGGATCAGACAACCGTCTCCTTCGTGCAAGATTCCATTTCTCGCAGAAAGGAAAAGAAGCCGCAAAATTCAAAAAACGAAGTCATAGAACCACCGTAAACTGAGACTTATTCAATTCATCAATCGGCTGTTGAGAAGATACCGTTGTCGATAACATCGACGAAGAATACGATCGGCTCGTTCAACACCTTCACGTTAACGCTATGAAAGGTGAGAGTTCGAAAGTCACCAAGAGACATCTGTCTCCTGAAACACTCATGCTGATATGCCACCGCGGAATCACACGGGCTGCAGGAAACCGCGAACTAACGTCCGAATTTGCAAAACAATGCAGACAGGCATGTGAGTATTATAAAGATTTCACAACAAAGATATCACCATTCTACAAGGACATTGACGTCGACTGCAAAAGTTAGGCAAGGAGATACCATCTCGCCAAAGTTATTCACCGCCACCCTCGACAACGTCAGCCGAAAATTGGAATGTGATAACATGGGATTGGAAATCGATGGTCGGCAATTAGACCATCTTCGCTTAGTCGACCATTTCGTTCTTATCACACAAAACATCAGCCAGGAGGAACGAATGCTTGCAAAGTTTGGTAAAGCCTGTGGAAACATTGGTCCTCAATTAAATCTCACAAAACGATGTCCGTGAGAAACGGATTGCTTTCGTATGCCCCATCCATGCTTAATGGAATGAATTTCTCTGAACGCTACGTCTATCAAGGTCGAGAAATCAACATGATGAACAGCATGATGAATGAAACTTCAGATTTGAGCAGAAGGGAGCGAGTGGCTTGGGCAGCTTTCAACAGCATCGAGGGCGTAGTAAAGAGAAAAAAGAACATCCGACCGTGCCCACCTTTTCCACTCCACGGTACGTCCTGTCATAACGTATGAGCCAGAAACCTGATCGCTGCGTACGTACATTAAAAGATCAGTCAGCGTCATTGAACGCGCAGTCGAAAGGATCATGCTAGTGATATCTCGTGCCACACAACTAAGAGAAATAATCCGAAGCTTCAACCTTCATCAATGATCGAAAATTAAAAATACCGTTCTATACATCAAATTGTCGAAGATAAGGTGTGCCGGACACTTTATGCGCACGAATGACATCGATGGAGAACAGTTCGTAGTGACTGTATTCCTCGCGGTGTCAAACGTACTGCAAGAAGACCGCTGACCCAATGGTCAGAGTGCTTCACGAACACCCTAGGAGAATGGTATGGTGCTCAGCGAGTTTCTAGAGCGAGCAAAACCCTCTGGGCTACTCTTGTACAAGTCAGGGAAAAACGGAAGATTTAGTGGTGCCCGGTTGAGTCGCTCAACGATCAACGGGACTACAGATGATACAGGGGAGGTGAAATATTACAGAACGGAGAGCATTCACTCCTTAACAAAATCACGGCAATTTTTTCTTTTCAAGATCTTTCCTTCCATGATATTTACCACTTCATAACGAAACTAGCTAATCGATAGAAAGATAAGTAGGACAAGTAAGTATATTGACAACAATTTCGGTTTTCTACTTTATGACGTGGAGGTTTCGTTCCAAAATAAACCTTGAGGTTTTTGTAATCACACTAGTTGGAATTTCGCTCAATATTTCTATGTTAACGCAATACTTTTATGACATTTAGTGCTTAGTGGGGGCTACTTAAATAATCAGGCAATTTTTTGCATAAACTGTAAAAGATCTTTGCAAAGAGATTGTTATCTCTCCGTTGACATTGCGGGCTATGTTTCCTTAATCGAGTAGTAGAATAAATAGGAAGCATTTAGCACAGTGGTTAGAAGTGCCCTGAAATACACATGCGGTTGTTGGTTCGAACCCGCCCTGTCAGCGGCTGATTGCTGATAGCACTGATCGGTAGAAAACTAGCTGAGAAATGGACGAAACGAAGGACCCGGATGGTGCTGTGGTAAACGCATTATCCACTGGAAAGATTAATGGCGCGTTCGTTCCCCACCGCAGACACCTGCGCACCCGCAGTTTTGCAAATATTTCGCCACTGTGGTTGTATTTCGCATAATAACCTGCCATAAAAAATTTCAGTAGGAAGTAAATAAAAAGTTAGCACTAGGAATTGGATATTGTTTCATAAGATCCACATCGTGGTGAGGACCTGGATACGCCCTTGCAAGGGTACGTCAGGACCCCAAGGAGGGACCAAGTTGCACGACCAGCGATAGGCCAGCCTCAGTACCCGCATACTGAGTGCTCCCGTCTATGACGTCAGGCGGTGGGACGACCAATGACAGGCCAGGAAATTTCGGGTTACGCAGAACGTCACTAGAACCGGATCTGACGAACACACGCACGATTGAGAACACATCCGACTGTTATTAAAACTGCACCACGAAAATACAGCTTTTCAATCGACCTCTTACCATACTCATAGGAAAAGGAGTTCGACAGGCCGGCACAATATCGCCAAACTTGTTCAGTGCCGCACTGCAGTGGATTATGAAGTTACTCGATTGGGATGAGAAAGGCATTAGTATTGATGGAAAATTCCTATCAAACCTTCGTTTTGCCGACGACATTGTCATCTTCTCAAGAAGTACTAGTGAAGCAGAGGTGATGATCAACGAGCTCAACGAAGCGGAGAAAAAGACCGGACTTCGCATAAGTCGAAAGAAGACTCAGTTCATGAAAAATCCACGACGAGAAGGCGAAAAAATTGAACTGGATGGCTCTATCATTGCAGAGACCTCTTCGTACGTATACCTTGGGCGATCAATGAACGTGGAAAACAGCATGAAGGAGGAACTAGATAGAAGAAGGAGAGCAGCATGGGCCGCATTCGGGCCCCTCAAAGAAGCCACCGACCAACTGAAGGACCCGAAAATCCGCGCTCATCTCCTTGATTCTATGGTCCTCCCAGCGCTCTGTTATGCTCCGGAGACATGGGTTGATACTTCAACTACGTCAAGAATGCTTCGAACCACTCACAGAGCGCTTGAGCGATGCCTTCTGAAATATAACCAGCACTCTCAATATCTAGCCGGAATGCGAAACTCTGACCTTCGAAATCTGTCACATCTTCGAGATCCAGCAGAATATACATCGAGAGCGAAACATAGATGGGCCGGTCACATAATGAGAAGAACAGACGACAGATGGACGAAAAGAACAGTTAAGTGGACTTCAAGAGAATTCAAACGTCCCCTAGGACGACCACCTACACGTTGGGCGGACGTGTTCGTAAACAAAGTCAATCAGCTGTACCCGCAGCTGCAGTTGTTTTACAGATCACACGGTATGAGACTCGCAAGCGCTACCATGCTCGAACAAGACCACCAACATGGACGACGATTGCGAAAGGAACAAATGGCATACGTGATGGAGTCCGCACGTCTCGTGAAGACGGACCGTCCAAGTATCCAAGTAAGTTCATAACGAATCCATTCTGGTTAATAAAGGTTATTATAAGCTGAGAAATTCATAAATTTGAAGACTCGAAATTCGATTTATTTTCCAAAAGCCTCTTAAAAATTTACTCGACATGTATTTGATCGGCACAATGACATGGAAGGCCGTCAGACAGACGTCGGTGGTACGGTTTAATAGCAGTGCATTGTATCATCGAAAATGATCAAGTGCTCCTCATAAACTCATAATAGTTTCCTTTTAGAAATTGCTTGAAGATAAAATTATGCATAAAAAAAGTTGAAACCCAATTTCAAGGGCTTTCTTCTGCTCTTATAAGCCTGAATGAATTCTGCCTACCTCTCCTTGCATCCATTTTTTTCTGCCACTTGAGCGGCCGTGGCAGGGGATTATTCGCTTCCAACATTATCGAGAGCTTTGAAGAGATTCAGACGATAACCTAGTGCGATGGAAGCAGACAGCAGTCCATTAATGCCAATTTCCTAAAACAACACATTCGATCCATTCTTGTTTGTGGTTCCAATCCATATCTATGGACCAAACAACTGAACGAGATGCCATTCACTTCATCAAACACTACAAAATAGCACGAATGCCACAACATTTATTTTGCGCTTCCGGCTTAGAAATAATAAATTTAAATGAAATCTAACCCAGATACATAACAACAACTAAATAAGTCGAGCGTTGAACTACAACTTTTGAGCACAGTAGATCATACTCTTTTGGTCCGAACTGAGCAACCTCTAAATTGGGACTTTTCCAGAAGGTGTGACGCGAACGTAAACTCTCCAGTATCGCAGCGATCAATGAAATGTTGGAGTTCAATAAGTCGTGGTGTCGAAAACAAAATCGAAGCTGCCCGAAGACATCCGCATTCGTTATTACAACAAACTAGGAACTGGCACCATTAGTGACGTCATCCAAACTGGAAAAATAAATGTTGTTTCAGTTGTTGTGGAACCCATACTCAGCGTAGCTGTGAGTTTTATAGGGATCTTCGTGTATCTGTTTTCATGAGAACTTGCTGTTGTGAAGGCGGAGGTGTATTTGCAGTCATTTCTGAAAACTCAGAGACAAAATTTTAACGGGTGTGGGAATGATTTGAGTAAGGAGATTGGGAAACAGAAATGGAAGAAATGTGGTGTCCATACAGGCAGTGCGCCTAGTACTGATTGGCACCTTACTATTCCATTTAATCACAGATAAAACTTTTGAAAAGCAGTAAGAATCACCCCGTAATCCAATTCTCAATACCGATTTTGTAATGACCACTAAGTTCTTTCGCGATAAATAAGCCGACCATTCAACCCTGGCTAACGTTTGACGGTTGTCGCTCTTCTCCTTTCGGAGATCGAAAAGGTCATGCTCACTTGCATATCTTTCCGACTAAACATTACTGCTGTCACCTTTGGACTTTCAAAAACCGATGTCGAAATGGGTATTAAGTGCACATCGTCACAAATGTGTTGGGTCTGTCATCAGGATGTCTAGAATCGCTCCGCTTACATAAAATGGAATAAACGTCGAATGAAATT